GTATGGACGAAGCAAAGTTTATTGTCCTTCAATTTCATATGACTACACTTGTAGCTACCGTAATGCATGAAATTTAAATAAATTTTATTATGTCTGCAAATTTCTGGGCTTTTATTTTTCTGGGAATCTGAAAGCTTTTAAAGTCGATAACTTTTAAAACAAAGCTAAAGAATTCAGATAAAGCTGAAAAATTCAGAAATAATCCAGATTTTTCTTTTTCTTACTTTATAATGTAAGCTGAAGGAAGAGTCTTTGAAAGATTTGCCTAAGGTGATGAGCTTACCATTTTCAGATGTTAAGTCGTGCTGTGTTTGTGTCTCAAGCTCCGCCTCTTTCCTTTGAGACGATTGCTAGCGAATAATGTACTTGGTGAAGGGTTTTTTCTTCCTGACATAGCAAATGACAATTCTTGGAGGCAGAGATGCAGCTAAAGAAGCTAGTAGTTGTTGAATGCAGTCATTCTTTAGAGCAAAAGTTGCACTTGAGGACAGGGGCAGACTTTGGTCTTTCAAATTTCAGTGACACCCTGTGTGAAAATTCAGCCCCCTCTCGCCTTCCATTCTGCATGTGCTTTATATCATACTTGCCGCACACCCCTTGGCTCAGTGTGGGTGAACCAGTTACACTGCCCTAAATGTGCGTTTGCTGAGGAACTGCAGGACTTAAGAATAGGAATGCTAACTGAAGTTGTCATATGGCATATGGAATTCAGCTATGGTTGCACTGCTGAATGCACTCATTCCAGGGTTAAATATAATTGAAATGGAAAGGACTTGATTCAAGAAAACTGGGGCTTGTGTGTTAATGTGTGTTACCACTGCATTCAGAACCTCAGGCTTTAAAGTCCCAAAGAGTTCTCCAGTTATTTCTTTAAGCAGAGGCTTGACAACCATATGTCAGGAGTGCTCTGATGGTGTTTCCTGCTTGGCAGGGGGTTGGACTCGATGGCCCTTGTGGTCTCTTCCAACTCTATGATTCTATGATTCTATGATTCTATGAGTTATGTGATTTAGATTGCAAGCTTCTCTTCATCGAATTAAATCAAGCTTGGTAAATGTAAAGCAACCTCTTGGGCAGGTCTGAGGAATCATGCTGAACTTCAGGTATTGCTGAACTACAACTCCCATCAGCCTCAGCAAGCAGGGCCAATGTCCAGGGTTGATGGGATTTAACAGTGTCTGGAGAGTCAGAGGTCCCCCACACCAGTTACACACAAGTTCTGCCCTGCCCATTGAACTGAATGGAGAAACCTTCATTGGTAAGGGAGCTTCCTATATGCACCAGAGCTCATGTGAGGCATCACTAAACCAAGGTGTGTTCCTCAGGAGCTGTGAAAGCATTAAGACTGAAGGATAGTGCTAGTATCCTAAGTCAAATAAGTAAATTCTGGAGGCTCCATCTTTTCTCCCCAAGATAGAAAGGTTCCAATTTCAACCCTCTGGTTTACTCATTCCACACAAATTTATATACAGGATATAAATTCCTGCTTGGGCAGCTTCGTTGGTTAGAGCATGGCGCTAATAATGTCAAGGTTGCAGGTACAATTCCTGTATAGGACAGCTGTGTATTCCTACATTGCAGGGGGTTGGCCTAGATTATCCTTGGGGTCCCTTCCAACTCTACAATTTTATGAATGTTCTATGAATGAATGTTTCTAAGTCAAGTCAAGAAGTTCCTGTTAAACAATTTGCAGCTGTGCTATGACCACATCTTGCCACTAATCATGTAAAAACACTTCATCAATGTTCGTGGCTGTTTTGTATTTTTCTTCTGGGGGCAAAATAGAAACCCTGGCTAGGCTTCAAGAGAAAGCTTGGAAATGTGAGATTGGAAAGGATTGACTGTGTTAATAGCCATGACTTAAAACTATTATTTCAAACTCTGATGATAAATGACTTTGGAGTGTGTTCTTGAATCTGAAAGCTTAGTAATGTAAACAGTGATTAAATGCAAAACTTGAATGTGCCATAAAAGCCTCCTGATTAATATTCTGTAATGGGTGAGGATCCTCTTGGGCAACCCATGTGGGCCTCATGCCAGTGGCAGGTGGAGCAATGAATGCAAATTTTACTTTCATACAGTAAGCTGGTTTCTATATGCACCCTGTATAGGCAAGCAGGAGTCAACTATGAGGACACATTCCAGCTTGGAAGAAAACACCCAAGGGGTGTGTTAAGCAGAGTCAGGGACGGGGGCTGCATTCACCCCCAGAGCCTGTGGCTCCTGGCCCTCTACTACCTACAAATTGGAAACACTGCTGCATTTCCTGCACACAGTTGAACAAACCCAGTCCTTGCAATGAATGAAAATGGCATGAAGGTTGCCTTCTGTCAATGACAAGTGCCAATCCCAGGTCTCTGTTGCAAAAACTGAGGGTTTTTATTGATTCAAATCTTACATCCGTTGTCTTTTATGTGTCGCAGAAGATGTCATTTGAGAAGAGTCTACCCATCCAGTGTCAATCTAAAATCTCTCTCATTTTCCAGTCTTATTTCTCCCCTTACCTTCCATGTCAAACAACTTGAATAAGCTGTGGTCAATAAAGAATACTAAAAACCTGTGTCATGCCTCCAGCGACTTCTTTTAAAACTCAAGGCTTAGTGTCGTGTCTCTGACCAATCGAAACACGCTTGCTTGTTTTGCTGGTTGAATATTGGGTGTGAACCTAAATCATGGATAGGATGGTAGTGGTACTAGGCTGCTGACAAAACCAGAGTTAAATTTATCAAATATGAAATATTTGGAAAGAATTGACATACATACATATGCATTGTACAGCTAAAATTATTTAGGGTATTACGTCATTTTAACGGGTGCCATCAAATACAGGAGTTCAGCTCTAAGGTGGGAATTAAGAGTAGATTGCACATAAAGATTTAGTAAGTGCCTTTGCCTGACAGGACGATGCAGTTGTACAAGGTATGGCATTCTTAGCTTCTTATAGTATTTGAATGAGAACCTGTGCACCTCCAGGTTTTGCTAGACTACAAGCAGCTAGCTGGGTCTGATGGGAGTTGTAGTCCAGCAACGCCTGGAGGCCCACAGGCTCCCTACTGCTCTCATAGATGAAAGTGTGAAGGGAATACTGCAGCCTTATCACTAAGCCTGTAACAATTTGTCTCTGGGCTATATCACATCAGACTGCAGGAAAGGAATACCCAAGAATGAGTGGGAAATTTCCTTAACATGCTACGTTTCCTTTTTTGTGGTGGCTCCCCATTTGTGGAATGCTCTCCCCAGAGGGGCTTACCTGGCAGCACTCAATCCACCCGTGATGTAGAAGCTGCATTTTTGGGATGTAAAAAGCACCACTGTTACTGATTAGTGCCTGTTTCCCCTGCTGCTTTTGAAATTCTGCATTTGGCAGAACTTGAGGACTTTTTGGAGGTATTTCTCAAGTAAACAGACTCAAATATGTGTTCTGTTGCCCAGCTATAGAATTTTGCTTTACACGGACAATCATTTTATCCATTATTTTCCATTTAAATGAAATTACAGTATACTCCTGCTACCTGCAGGTTTTTGACGACTCGGTACTTAAAGCATCTTACATGAATCTAAACCATTGCCCAACTCAGTGGTATCAAATATGTAATAAAGTATATAATTTTGAAAAACTAATGGGAGGCAATCTAAAAACCAAGACCTGGCAAATTAGAGGGAAGTGCCCTGAGAAGAAAGTAAGTTTCCAAGGCATGCTCTGGTTCATGGGGTCACAGAGAGTCGAACACGACTAAGACGACCAAACAACATTACCCCATATCCATATGAACCTATTATTTCAGTTTTCTGATTTCTATGCATAGCACTGAGAGGGCTTCCCATACATTTTCATCCTGTCTTCCCTCTGCCCCACCCTAGGAGCTCAAGGTGGCAAACATAGTTATCCACTTTCCCAATTTATCATCTCAACAGTTCTGTGACTCTCTAAAGCTGAGAGAAAGTGACTAACCAGATAAGCCTTTTGGATGAAGCGAAGATTTCAACCCTGTTTTCCAAGACCCTGGTCTGACACTCTTAAGCACTAGCAGTGACTATGAAATACAGGAATATTAAGGTTAAGTTGGTATGCATTCCCAGCTAAAGATTCCCAAACAAGTTCAAGGTTTATATTAGTATATAAAACCCTTGACAACTTTCCTTGTGATCTGCCCACTCAACCGCTTTCGGTTAGCATCCACAGGTGCCTTCTATGTACTGTTTTGGGCACATGGTTTGTTTATAGCCTACCCAAGTATTTAAGGCTGATGCATACTTTTATCTGGGTTGTTTTTTAACTATTGTTTTTGAATGTTTTGATTGTTTTACCTGCAATTCCACTGTTGTTTTTTGTAAACCGCTTTGCAGTTGTTCTACAAATAAGCGATGTATATACATTTTTATGAAATAAAAGTTAAAACCCAAGGACCCCCTGTGCTCCGTCCCTGCAGAAAAACCACAACCCTGTCAGTGGTTGCAGCAATCTCCTTAAATCGCCCCCTCGGACTTCCTCTCATTCCAGATCCAGCTTTTAGCAGAAGAAACGGTGCTCCACTGGACTCTTTGCACAGGCACGATTCCCGTTCTTAAACGTTTAAAAATTCAAAGCGCATTTCCCCAATGCTTTTAGCTGTTTCTATTTCATCTGCAAGCCGCCTTGAGTCCCTGCTAGAGAAAAGGCGGAATAACAATGATCACAGTACTGTAATAATAATAACAGGTGGTAAGACATCAGGGCTGCAACTCCTGACTTTGCTACTTTTTATTGAGAGCGGGTGGGAGGGTATTAATACCACAGCAACAGCTGCATTAAAATTTCGGGTTTTCTCCCTTGCTCTGCATCTCCGCCCCGCGAGAGTCCAAAAATGGCGCCCGAAGTGAAACAAGATTCGAGCGTTGCCACTCTAGCGTTCCTGTTTCACCATAGAGAGGAAGCGTCTCCCCCTCGGCTCCTATGGAGACTAGACCGGAAGTCTAGCTGGTTCACTCTCAGCCTCCGCGGAAACCCCTCCCTCCCTCGCCTTTTTTACGCGTCGGCTGCGGGTGACGTCATTGCCGCTCGCCGCGGTGTGTTGGCGCACGAGGAGAAGAGGCAGCATGGATCCAGCTACGGAGTTTCCTGTGGATCAAGGGCAGGTGAGAAGAGGCGGCCGCCGCTTTGGCGGGGAGGGGGAAGGAATGCAGCACTTGGGGGGTTCTCTGCGGCGTGGCGCCCGCTGGAGCAGAGGCAGCCGCTGGGCTTTCCGCGGCACCAACGGGCGCCTCTCGGTTCTGCGATTCGGAGTCTGGCGGAGTGGCAATAAACGGGTGCTGGAGTAGGACTGAGGGGAGCTGACATCAAGATCTGGCCGTGCCGGATTTACGTATCACCTAAACAAGCGATAGCTTAGGGCCCCACTCTCTTGGGGGCTCCCAAAAGAATTAAAGGGGGGGGACCTGGCTGTACATTTCCAAAATATAAGATAAAAAACAAATAAAATAAAACCTACATACAGAAACAGTGTTTTGTGTTGTGTAGGCGCCTGTGATGTAAGTAATGGGCCCCTTCTAGCCTGCTCCCTAAAATATCACTGGTTTGCTCATTTCTGCATACAGTGGTACCTCGAGTTAAGTACTTAATTCGTTCCGGAGGTCCGTTCTTAACCTGAAACTGTTCTTAACCTGAAGCACCACTTTAGCTAATGGGGCCTCCTGCTGCTGCTGCGCCGCCAGAGCACGATTTCTGTTCTCATCCTGAAGCAAAGTTCTTAACCCGAGGTACTATTTCTGGGTTAGCGGAGTCTGTAACCTGAAGCATATGTAACCTGAAGTGTATGTAACACGAGGTACCACTATATAGGGTACCTACATTTTGCATGGACTGGTTGCATGACAACATATAAGGGGCCCCATTACCTTCAGCAGCTTAGGGCCTTATCAAACCTAAATCCGACCCTGGTGAAGTTCAGCAGGGCCAGGCCCTCTCAGCCTAGCGCTAAATTGGGGTGGGGGTGGGGGAGAGGAGAGGAGAGAGAACAGCCAGATATGACTTCGAACCCCATAGGAGAGAAACCCAACTGCTAAGTAACTTTTAAACACATTGGAACTTGGAACTGTTTGCAAGGGACAGCCCCTGCTTTCTGATACCAGCTCAGAAAAGGGCAACCCAAAATATAGAGGGGTGGATCAAAACCCTTATGAGGACAGGTTGCAGCTCTGGGGTCTTTTTAGGTTAGAGAAAAGGTGAGTAAGACGCGGCATAATAGAAGTTTATATGACTATGCATGACATTGAGGAATCTGTGAAGCAGTTACTTTGCTGCTTGTATGCCAATGTGTTGGCCTAGATTAGGGGTTGGAAACCTGTGGGCCCTCCAGATCTTGCTGGACTCCAACTCCTGTCAGCCCCAGGCAGCATGGATGATGGGAGTTGGAGTCCATCAACATCTGGAGGGCCACAGGTTTCCCATCCCTACACTAGATGGAGGTGAGGGATTGAGCTCATTGTAAATTATGCTTAATGCCACTATGTATTTTTGTAGACAAAGCACTTGCTCTTTAATAATGGGTTGGCTGGGGATTAGTTATCTGTATGGTTGGTAGGAATGCCTAGAGTGGTGCTTGGATGTGGAGTACTTTATTGCTAAGGATGCATTTTGGAGAGGTTGCTGTATCAGGAAGGGGAGTGTGGGTGTAGTTTCTGTATCAGAAATTTTGTTTAGTTACTACTCATGCTGTTTTGTGGAGTTCATCTGTGTTATAAGAATTCAAAGGTCTCGGATATAGAATAATGTTCATAATTGCATAAGGTAAACACACATACATAAGTATATAAACCATGTGTCTAAAATAGTACAGGAGAGCAATTCTGAAGCCATTTTGACTCTTCCCTAAAGTACCTCAAATATTTTTCTGCAGTAGGAGGATGGGGAAAACTTTCCAATTTTTCTTTTCACTTGCAAATCCTCCCTGCAAACCCAGTCTGGGAAGTATCTTGGACGGTGGACAGATTATCAGCAGGCATAATTTTTTAAAAAGAGAGTCAGGAACGAAAGTATTTGCAATATGAAAGTAATGGCTGGGCTACCCAGACAAATGCAGTCAGAAAGGCTTTATCAGGTACCTTGATAGACAGGAGAGAAGTTGCGCTCACAGTACTGCTGGAGACCACCTCCTTCTGTGATGTCTCTGATGTTTTTGGGGTGGTTTTGGGCTAAGGGGTGGGCAATTTCAAAAGTCTTTATAGGGGCTTGCACACCCTTGTTTTGGGTCTCTCACACCTTCTTGCAAGTGGTGACTCTGTTGCAATCTGCCTTGCTTTCTACTGGATCCTTGCCTCCATCCATTCATCTCTGACCAGACATGGACTTAGGAGACTCAGTGCCTTGGGGAATTGGGCAGCAAAAGCCAACCCCACATTTTCTATAACATCTGTAAAGCTTCATTTGAGACTTCAGCTGAGGTTATTACCTGCTTTATTTTTTTAATGCTACCTTCTTGTGTATTTGCTCTTTCAGATTAAAAAAGCAGCCCAGGCCCTCCTTGCATTCAGCGCCAGTAAGCAAAAAAAAGCAGAGAAGCTGCTGTTGAATGAGGACCAGCATGTATTTCTGATGGTCACAGTTTGGAAAATCCCTCCACGTGAACAAGTCATCAAAATGTAAGGCTCTGGGTTTTGCTGCTCTGCTGTAATGTCTTTGACCATGATGCCTTTTGCTTCAGTTGTATTCATGACTATTGTCAATCATTCCCTCTGTTTCCAATGGCCAGGCTGTGAGTGACATCACTTATGTAGCTGAAAGGACACTACCCACATTCAAGCAAGCTTTGACCTGGGAGGCCAGGGTTCAAGTCCCCACTCAGCTATGAAGGTCACTTTTTGACCTTGGGCCAGCCACTGCCTCTCAGCCTTACCTACCTTTTCAATATAATTGAGAAAATAAAATAAAAACATAATTAGAATCATGTAAAAAAAAATAATTCTGAACGGTAACATACCTTCGCAGCTTATCTGTGTTAACTGATTAAATCATCTATTTTCCTTTTTTGAGATTGGACTCCAGCTGGAAACTACTGTGCATTCTTAAAATCGTGTTCTCTTCATTCTAGAACACTGCCTCATGATATTTTGCCGGCCACATCAGATGTTTGCCTCTTCACAAAAGATGAGCCAGGCTTAACAGCTGAGCAGACTGAGAACTTGTACAGGAAACTCTTGTCCCAGCATGGGATCACAAGGATCAGCGAGGTACAGAGAGAACTCTTAGCTTCATCAGTTGGTTTAGCCTGACGTACGAATGCAGCCTAAGGCCTCATCTTAGAAATGTCAGTGATTTAAGTGATATATAAGTACCCTAAATCAGGGGAACCTTTGGCCCTGCAGATGTTGCTGAGCTAGAACTAGCAGGCATGGTTATTAGAGTTGTTCTTCTGTCACATCTGACAGGCCAAAAGGTTCCCCACAACTGATTTAAAGTATTTATATACCATGCAGTAATCTGCCTCATATTGGTTTGCATCCATGTCATGTTATGCTTTATTGTACATTTCATTTTGAAAATGCTCTTCACTGCTTTAGGTCTAAAGTGGCATATAAAATACACTGGAATCATCGTGATCTATTGTCATTTTATGTTCCTTCAATTTCTATTTTATTGTTTCAATATTCTGTTTTTCACTTGGAGCTCTTGGGGCCTAAAGTGCTATATGAATGAACTGTAATCATCATTATTTTATCTTTTAATTAAATGCTGTGGTGTAATCTAACCAACCTCACCCCTGTATCTGAAGGTCATCTCCTACAAAACACTGAAAAAAGAATATAAACCTTATGAAGCAAAACGTCGCCTCCTGAGTCGATTTTCTCTCTTTTTGGCTGATGACCGGATTCGGCGGCTTCTGCCATCGCACATAGGGAAACACTTCTATAAGAGTAAAAAGTAAGCACCCTCACTTGTCCATGTTTCATTTCTACCAAATTCTACTAAGGATGCTGAACTCTTCCTGAAATCTTGCATTTTTCTATCATATAAGGGCTCCTGTGTCTGTGAATCTGAAAGCGAAGGACCTCTCTAAGGAAATAAACAAGCATCTCCAAGGCACTATTCTTCCAGTCACGAACAAGGGCTGTTGCTAGTAAGTATTAATTGTGATACTTAACTTTCATCAACCAGGCTATGAATTTATTTACTGGCTGCATTTATGCGTTGCTTCTCAGACATTTGAAACATTTTACAACATGATGCTAACCCAAAGGAATTCCAAAAGACAAAGGGGAATATTCAGCCAATTTTTACTCAACATACACTCTTTGAAATTAATGAGCCTGATTCAGTCCTGTTTGTTAATTTCAGTGAGTCTGCTCTGCGTAAAATTTAGTTGAATACCGCCCAAGCTAATAAAGGAGCAGACTTGTCTCATGCTATACATGGTATTTTTTCTTGAACTTAAAGGTGGTATATAAATTATTTTATTATTGGTAACCACAGTTGACTCTCAACTTGTGCACGTTTAACTTGCACGATCGCAGCCTTACGGGCTTGGCAGTTGGCCATCTGAAACTGCACAGATTAAACACACACAAGGTAGACAGCTTAACGGTTCTTTCAGGGTGGAAAGAGCTTTCAGGCTTTCTTACCGGGCTCTGAGACTCCCAGATGCCAGTAAGTGAGGCCTGCTCAGCACACCAACTTCAGAAAGGTAGGGGTGGTCGTGGGTGGGGAGCAGTTCCAGGGTTGTCTTGGCTATACGCGATTTTTGCTTTACAATCTCCCAGTGAGTTGCAAGTTGACTGTGTTATCATTATCTTTATGTGCTTTGTAGTTCTTCACCCTGGTATTTATTTTAAGGAAGATGTCATGTACTGGCTTGGATGCAGAGGAGAGGTGGGAGACACCAAGCTGGAGAATCCTCAGGGAGAGAAGGCTCAGAGCCAGGGAACTGGTGGTGGGATGATGATGAGTGGTCAGAGGTAGCAGACTGGGAGGAGGAGAAGGTGTCAGAAGCTGAAGAGGCAACAGGGTTTAGTGAGCAGGAAGAGACTGTGGCAGAGAGCAATCCAGAACCAGAAGCACCAAGGTGGAACCTCTAGGTTCAAGGGCAGCATTCCTCTGAGGAATGCTGGGGAATACGGACAGGAGAGGGTTGTTGTGTTTGTGCCCTGCTTCTCAGTTTCCCAGAGGCCACTGTAAGACATGGGATACTAGACTGGATTGGCCTTCAATCTGATCCTCGAGGGCAAGTGGTGGGGAGCCTCCAGCCCACAGGCTGAATTTGGCCCACAAGACCAAGTCCGCGCCACCTGTTTTAGAGGGAAAGAACAGACAGCTGAAGGACTGCCATTCATCAGGGTATTGACTCCAGGTGTTGCTCTCTTTCTTCAGTTCTATACGTGTTGGTCACAGTGGCATGGAGGCCTCGGAGATCTCTGAAAACGTCGTTGCTGCCGTGAAAGTGTTAGCCACGAAAGCTCCCCAGGTAATGATGCTCAGTCAGGTGAGGGGTTAAGGCATCTCCTCTGCACACTCATCCAGGAGTAAATCCCATTAATCTTGGTGGAGCTTAGTTCCAAGTAAATATGCATGCAATTGGGCCGTCCATCTTTTTATTAAAGCGGTTTGCTCTGTGCCTGCCCTCTTTCATTGACTTCCTTTTCTTTCTTTCTTTTTTTAAATAAAAACAACAACACACAATTGCTGCAGATCTGGAAAAGTGTTAAGATCCTTCATCTCAAGATGAGCAAATCTGTTGCTCTTCCGATCTTTACCTGTAGTAATCCCAGAAATCCTCAGAAACAGCCAGATGCCGAAGTTGAACAGGTAGGTGACTGACTCATGCATACATACTGGGCGCTTTCAGCAAGGGTGGTCCTCCTGGCTGGTTATATAACTACGGCTATTTAGTATTTTGTAACTTCTGCATGTCTGAAGAGGCCTGCTTAAACAAAAATGTTTTAAGTAGGCACAGGAAAGAGAGCAGTGAAGGTCAATAGACGGGGAGTTCCAAAATGTAGGTGTTGCCATGCTGGAATACGGATTTACGACTGCAGAATGAGTATTGGGTTCCACAGATCAAAGCAGTCGAGTAGGCACATTTGGGAATTGTAGTTCTACTATTCAGAGGGTGCCGGGTTGGCTGTATGTGGAACTAGGGGGAAGATCCAAAAACATTCTAGGAAATGTGCATTGGTACATGGTGTGTACCCATTTGTCAGGATTGGTGTGGTCTTTTGATGAAGGCGCTAAGGAAATTAATAAATACCTTCCAGGAAAACCAAACAAAGAAGAAGAAAAAGAAAGGGGGAAAGACAGCTGCAAAGAAGAACTTGGCTAAAGCCGGGGCGACAGGAGAAATCAGCCAGGTTCCTGCCATTGCTGGGGGAAAGAAGGCAGCAGTGGAAGAAGATGAAGAAGATGAGGATGGAGACATTCCACAGCTGGTTCCAATCGAAGCATCTCCCGGTGTGAAAAATGAGAAGGTAAACCAATCTTGTTCTGGCTGAGTTGCAATTGGAGCTTCAACTCGACTGAAGATTCTGTTCCAGATAACTTGCAGGGCTGTCCACACGGGATGCTGAACACAGGCACAAGCTGTGGGTGTGTTTGTGTGAATTACCGTATTTTTCACTCTATAAGATGCACCAGACCACAAGACGCACCTAGTTTTTGGAGGAGGAAAACAAGAAAAAAAAAATCCTGAATCTCAGAAGCCAGAACAACAAGAGGGATCGCTGCGCAGTGAAAGCAGCGATCCCTCTTGCTGTTCTGGCTTCTGGGATAGCTGCACAGCCTGCATTCGCTCCATAAGACGCACTCACATTTCCCCTTACTTTTTAGGAGGGAAAAAGTGAGTCTTATAGAGCAAAAAATACGGTATTTGTATTCACTGGGACACAGGTTGTACTCTCATGGAATGGAATGGAATGTGAGGGTATCTGTGTGGTCGTTTTGCCCTCAGAAGCAGGGTGAACGGTAGGCCGGGAAGGGGTTTCTTCATGGCAGCCTCTAAATTGTGAAACTCCATCCCCTCAAAGGTGAATTTGGTTATCTTCACTCTACAGTTTTTTTCCATATGCGGAAGAGACACCTCTTTACCCTTGCCTTTGACGTAGTTAATGTGGGTTTGGGGGGGGCTCCTCTTTTGTTAATTCACGGTTTCGTTTCATCAGGAATCGTTTTACTTGTTTTTACCATTTTGATGGTTTTATCCATTTCTAGATAAAACTTCTGTAACCCACGCCAGGATCTTATAGTGAAGGGTGGGTTATAAATCTTGAAAAATAAATAAAATATAATACGTAACTTACTTAAGAAAATAGGCAAATGCATTTAAGAGTGCACTAGACGAAAAAGCATTTACACTGCTTCATGAAAGGTGATCATTGTATCTGCAAGCGATAGAAAATGTCGAAAGGGAAAGCGACAAACTGGCCCAGGGGACCTTTTGCTTGAGATTTGGAAGAAAGGAAGCAGAGATTTGTTTTGCTATATAGGTGAAAAAAAATCCTATAATGATGTTCAGGTGTAGTTTGTGCCAGATAGGAATAATAATTATTATTACTTTATTTGTACTTCACTCTTTGACTGGTTTTCCCCAGCTACTCTGGGTGGCTTCCAGCACATGTGAAAACATAGTAAGACATTAAACACTAAAAACTTCTTGATATAGGGCTGACTTCAGATGTCTTCTAAAGCAGGGGTCAGCACACTTTTTCAGCAGGGGGCTGGTCCACTGTCCCTCAGACCTTGTGGGGGGCCAGACTATATTTTGGAAGAAAAAAAGAAAGAAAGAATTCCTATGCCCCACAAATAACCCAGAGATGCATTTTAAATAAAAGGGCACATTCTACTCATGTAAAAATGCACTGATTCCCGGACTGTCCATGGGCCGGATTTAGAAGGCGATTGAGCCAGATTCGGCCCCTGGGCCTTGGTTTGCCTACCCATGTTCTAAAGGATGTATCTCCTTGAAATCTGATGAGAGGGCATTCCACACAGCGGGCGCCACTACCAAGAAGCCCCTCTGTGTGCTTCCCTATAACCTCACTTCTCACAGTGAGGGAGCTGCCAGAAGGCCCTCAGACTTCGATCTCAGGGTTTGGGCTGAACAACGGGGATGGAGACGCTGCTTCAGGTATACAGCGCCAAGGTCGTTTAGGGTTTTAAAAGTAAGAGCCAACACTAGCTTTTATTCTCAGTGACGTTTGGTAGTGAGTGGAGAGAAAAATAAAATCTTTCTATTTTCAACACCTATTATGGTGAACAAAAACAGGTGTGTTCATCCATCGAACTACTGTGTGTTCTGAATTCCGCTCACCATCATTTTTTAAAAGAAAAAAGTCTGTTGTCTCCTGATGGGTGCCTTTATTCTCTTGCTTTCCCTCTTCAATATAGGTGCTAGAGCCTAGTCCTGCCACAGGAAAAGAAATCAAAGCAGGCAAAAAAGCTGCAGCAACTCTAACTCTCCTTGGCAAGAGGAAGGCATCCCCATCTCCAGGAACGCAACTGAAAACACCTGGGGTTGGGTCGAAATTGCTCAGACGAGACAAGAAACCCAAAACCCGAAGCTAAAACGTCTTGGAGGAGGAGCAGACAAAGACCCCAAAGAAGACAGAAGCAAGGTCTTCTGTGACCATTAAACCAGGGAAATTGGTCACGTCTGCCAGGAAAGCTCCTTAAACTTGAGGAAATGCCACAGTCAACATGACCAGCGTTGCAGCACATTGTCAAGTTGCTTTCCTAAACATAGGGTTGTAGCCACCAAAGTTGTCCTATTAGCACAAGGACTTGTCCGCTCACTCTTCTGTTCTCCCGTGTGCCCCACTCCACCTCCTTCCAAACCCTCTGGAGCAGATGTGGGGAGCGCAAGGAGAGAGGGGAGATGTTCTGTGTCCCAACTGGATGCCCTTGCACCAATAGGATGACTTTGTTGAGTACAACTTGTAAAAGTCAATAGAGTTCAGCAGAAAAGTCACCTTGAGAATATGGTGGCTATAGAGAGCCAGCATTTTTCTTAGCAATCTGTAATCTTGTTTCTAACCGCTAATACAGACCTGTGTTATTCAGATCTATATAAAGTCAGACTTTTCCTTTTATGACATGTGCGTTGCATCTTTTTTTGCCTGTACTTCATTATCTATTTTAAATTATACAATTTAATATGACTTACAATTATAGCATAAAAGTTAAATAATGGACCTATTTCCTCACCTTAGTCTCTTGGGTAACAAGGTTTTTTGTTTGTTTGTTTTTTTAAAACACCTCCTAATACTCCAAATACGTTATTTATTCAGGTACTTCTCACTGGGTGACAATATTTATTTTATTTTATTTTTTTAAAGTTCATTAAGCCTATGACATCAACAGAATTGAGTTGCTAGTAACCCCAATATCAATTCCAGATTGCAATTAGTAATTGCATCTTTTAGATTGCGTTCTATTTTCAAAATCCACAGTTGGCCATGACTTTGATCAGGACCAATCAAAATGTCATAAAATAGCAAATAAGCTTTCCAGTTCTCCGGAATTCTCCATCAGTCTGGATGTTACAAAGAGCAGGGGCTGATGTTTTGTTTCTTTGTTTTGGACAGGGTGCAGGTAGGGGTGGAACAGAACAACAATGATTCTACATTTAAACTCTGTTTCAATATGGAGATGTTGATTTTTGACCTTTTTTACTTTCTTCTGACCCCTGTTTACTTCGTTTAACATCTACACTGGTGGCCAGACTGGTCTTCGGAGATCAGCTTGTGAGTTGCTGGACTTGTGGATCTGAAAGAAAAGCCCCGCAAGCATGGTAGCCCCAACAAGCTTGATTGGTGGGCCTGCTATATGGGAGCTGTAGTTCAACAACAATCTGAGGGAATTCAGTCTTGGGCTCCGAAAGGTGTCACAGCCCTGTTTAGTAAGACGGAATATGTGCATCAGGGGTGGAGAAGATTTTTCAGCCAGAGGACCACATTCCCTTCTGGCAATTTTCTGCCAGCGATGGGCAGGGCCAAAGGCAAATGTGAACTGAGCAACAAATACAAAATTTGCCTTTCTGCAGGAGGCTACAGTGGTACCTCGGGTTACATACACTTCAGGTTACATACGCTTCAGGTTACAGACTCTGCTAACCCAGAAATAGTACCTCGAGTTAAGAACTTTGCTTCAGGATGAGAACAGAAATCGGGCTCTGGCGGCGCGGCAGCAGCAGGAGGCCCCATTAGCTAAAGTGGTGCTTCAGGTTAAGAACGGACCTCCGGAACGAATTAAGCGCTTAACCCGAGGTACCACTGTAATTGCACAAGCATAGGAGATTCCATGTTTATAAGTATAGGCCTGCATCCAAAGTTTTGCAAGCACAAGCGCAGTTCTTGAGCAGCACCAGTGTGCCATGTGGTAAACCGCTCTTGAAGACAAGGGGACTCTCAAAAGCAGGTAGTGGCATGGCATGGGCACCTGCTCTTTAAAGGAAACGTTAAATCCCACTGGGCGTGTTCGGCCACTTCAGTGTGACTTAAAGTAGTTCCCTGTCCCTAACATATTTTTTGGATTAGTGATTCACTGCCATTTGTGCAAATGATAGAGGATTGCGACATTTCTAAGATCGTTCAGTTTACATTCCTAGTGATTATGTAGCATTAACTCCTTCCTTCTCTCCTGTCTTATTTTAAGGCAGTGGTTCTCATGGCCGGAATGAATTACCGTATTTTTCGCACCATAGGACGCACTTTTTCCCCTCCAAAAATGATGGGGAAATGTGCGTGCGTCCTGTGGTGCGAATGCAGGCTTTCGCTGAAGCCTGGAGAGTGAGAGGGGTCGGTGCGCACCGACCCCTCACGCTCTCCAGGCTTCGCACACCTCTCCGCTGCTTGTGGAGAGTTGCCTGCATGCCGAAGCCTGCGCGCGCTGAGATCAGTGCACCCAGGCTTCGCGGACCTCTCCGCAAGCAGCGGGAGCGCTCCCACGGCTTGCAGAGAGCTGCCTGTTTGGGGGCTGGGGTCGGGGGAAGCTCGAGCTTCCCCCGCCCCAGCCCCGCGCCTGGGGGGAAAATAATTTTTTCCCCTTTCCCCCCCCCAAAAAAAAACTGGGTGCGCCCTATGGTCCGGTGCGCCCTATGGTGCGAAAAATAAGGTAAGTACTTAACCCGAGGTACCACTGTATTTTCTATATGCTCACACACCCCACTCTGTTCATCATTAAGGCAAACGGGAGGTATGAATAGTTCACACATTGCAGCCAAGCATAAATGCAAGGGGGGTGGGGTTGAAGCAGGGCCAGTGAGGGGCGTGGCCTGGGAGAATCCAGATGGCCCTGCAGAGGCTTGAAGGGCTGCATTCTGGCCCCCAGGGCTGAGGTTCCCATCCACCCAACATGTATAGTGAGAGTTTGCATCTAGTGAAATTGGGGCTGCCACGTGGTTAAAGAAAGCAAAGTCGGTCTAATAGATTTTGATTAAATTTGCAAATGAATAAAACCAAATACTTAAGAATAGCACATTTCCTTTGTTTTCAAATGATACAGGCATATGTTGCAGCAAGAATAACAAAAGAGGCGTTTGCTCTGCAAGAGGGAATTTTTTTGGGTTTTTTTCTAAGATTGCAGTTGCCACATCTCCAGTTTTCTAAATGCAGGTACTGAAAGCCCCAGATTAGAGGGCCAATGGTGGCTAGAGTGTGAGACTAAGACTGAGGATGCTCAGATCCCCTCAGCCCTGAACCTCACAGAGTGAAGTCAGGACAGTCTCTCTCAGCCTTATGCATCTTACAGGCTGGTGGTTTTATTTAAGAGTAAAGTACTGGCTTCACTATGACAAAAATCTTGTAAATCTAAATGCTTAGTTGCGCCTGGACTTGAAATTGTGCTATTAGTGGCTTTTAGTTAGGGAGGTCAGTTAATATGGACTATGTCAAATGCTCTTGAGAGTCCCATGGACTGCAAGAAGATCAAACGCATCCATTCTTAAGGAAATCAGACCTGAGTGCTCACTGGAAGGACAGATCGTGAAGTTGAGGCTCCAATACTTTGGCCACCTCATGAGAAGAGAAGACTCCCTGGAAAAGACCCTGATGTTGGGAAAGATGGAGGGCACAAGGAGAAGGGGACGACAGAGGATGAGATGGTTGGATAGTGTTCTCGAAGCTACAAACATGAGCCTGACCAAACTGCGGGAGGCGGTGGAAGACAGGAGTCCCTGGCGTGCTCTGGTCCATGGGGTCACGAAGAGTCGGACACGACTAAACGACTAAACAACAACAATGTCAAATGCTGTTTATAGCAATTCTGAGTTTTACGTCAGTAGTCCTAATATTTATGCAATAAAGCATTTACATCTCTCTATCAAAGGGTTTTGAAGCTGAGCAAATGGTTTTGTATTGTGCATGTAGATCAAAGATAACCTCCTAAAAATTGTTTGAAATTGCACACATTATCTCTTTATCTTGAGAGGTATTTAGCAAGGTTTTTTGCAAAAACACTCAGACTAGTGCTTAATGGCTGTACTGTGTGTTGGCCAGATCCAATGCACTTTACAAAGTCAAGGTCAGATGTAAACACACTATTTCAGAGTCATCAAATACAATCTTGCAATTTCTACATCATAACATTTTTAGTAAACTTTCTTACTCCGTTGTCTATGTATGTTGGCTAATTTGGCTTCCATCTCTACAAGCTATTTTTAATTACTAATTTTTCAAGGCACATGGTAAGTAAATTAAACTCATGTCTGGTCTAAGTGCAAAACATTTATCATCTATTAGAATCTCTTAAAATAGAATCCAACGGAGTTATTGTAAGAAGCAACTTACTAACTTTTAAGACTTGTTTCCACCCTTCTTGTTAAGTTTGATTCTGTTCATTAGGGTTGGAATAGAAAAAAATGGGTTCTATCCAATGCTAGTCCTACTCGGAGTAGTTCCATTGAAACTAATGAACATGAATAGCACTAGCCAGTGGATATAACCCAATAATTTCCTGTGGCACAACTGGTGATATTTTGTTTAGCAAAGTGAAGGTGGTTGTGCTGTCACCATTTACTGCTGTTAAAAGGATCATTTTGCATATGTTTAAGCTGTTGTCAGAGGCTGTGTGCACACACCATATATATGAAGCAGAATTTCCCAAGAATCCTGGGAACTTGTTTGTTAAGGATGCTGGGAACTGCTTTGTGAGGATTAAACTACAATTTCCATGATTCTTTGGGAGAAGCCATGTGCTTTAAAAAGATGGTGCATACACAGCCACAGACTGGTTTATTCATTCCCTTGCTATTTAGCTTCACCTTTACATTACTTCCACCCATGTACGGATATATCTGACAACTGAGGTTGATACTCTATGCATCTGACCAAGTGGGCTCTATCTAGTCCATGAAGCTTACGCCATAACGTTGCGCTTTTAAAATTCCACAGGACCCTTGGTTTTGTTGCCACATGCTTAATTAACCCTCTGTAAATCAGCCCCAAGAAAACGTGGCACATGAACATTAAGGCAACATGCCATTCACATGTTTCCCATTTGCGATCGCTCAGGTTTATTTTAAATGGCTGACAATCTATTTTACAGCAATCATGTTTGTTTGCTTCCTAGTGTATCTTTAACCAGGCTAACGGGATGGCTATGAAGGTTAACTGCCGCCAGCGTACAGCACCTTGGTTGTGAGATTGCACTGGATGCCAATCTGCTACTAGGCAAAGTTCAAGGTGCTGGTGCTAACATATGAGGAAGGCCAGGTTACTTTATCCCTTATGTATCCCACTGTGTTCTGCAGGAGAGTTTATGCAAGTCCAAAGATATTAGAAGCCCACTCCACAGTAACTTGGAGAAGTGGTGGACTTTGGGCTTTCAAATTTCAGCAGTGCCCTGTGCAACACCAAAATTCGCTTCCCCCACCTCACCTTCTGTTCTAAGTCCTTGTTGTAGCTCACCCTGTGGGTAAACTGGTCACACTCCCCTAAATCTCCCTTTGCTTAGTGCAGGGCTTTCATCGTGGCTGCCCCCATTCTGTTAAATAGCATTCCTGTCGAGATACAGGAAGAGCCCACTGTCGGCACTTTCTGGAAACAACAGAAGAACATTTTTTATCTTCCCAGCTGGATCAATGGATTTCTGC